CCACAGTGTGTAGAGCCTGCCCTGCCAGGACTGGCCTCTGTGGTAGCATCAAGGCTGGAGGAAGGGGGCTTTGGGGCATCTTTCTCCTCACTGAGGAGGGAGCAGGGTTCAGAAATGGGATTGGACACTCCCTTGGATGGCTTGTGGTGTGGAAAGTATCTCAGGAAGGACAGGAGCTGCTGACTAGCTGATAAAGGGAAGAGGAGGGAGAAAGCTTACTTTTCTTCTTTGTGCCTAGGGCCACATGATAAGCCAATATCCAAAGGCACACTTTTCTCCCTCATGCCCTGATCTTTGCTGTACAGGGAAAGGACAACTGCTGTGAACAGGCACCAGAATATATTCTAGGTGAGTGGGGGCCCTGGACCCTCATGTGGGAAAGGGCATTTCCCCATCATTCAATTTATTTCTGGCTCTCTGAAAGTCTGCAAGACGGGAAAGAACTTCTCTCTTCCACCCCATGATCTTTTTGTCTTTGAAGTGTTCAGCTTCTTTGTTGTTGTTGTTTGTAAAACTGGTCTCTGAAGGATCTCCCCTCCACATTCACACACGTGATCAATGAAGACTTCCAGAAGAAATTTGGGTTTGGCTGGAAATTGCATTCAAAACCTCTCCCTGCGGAGGAAGATGAAACGATTCCTGCAGAAGGTTTTCACCTCTTCTGCCAGGAACTGTAGTTCTTTGGATTCACTTAAGTGACCCATCAGCTTCCCGTACTCCCTGCTCAATCTGTGTCACCCTTTTCCAGCTAACAGGCATCCAGTGCTCCAAGAAAGAGTTGTCAGCTGGGTTACAGCAATATCAGGAACTAAGGACAACCCCTTATTGGTAAGGCATTTCGAAATCTGTGCCTCACATGTTGATAGTTAGAAGCTCTTCTTCCACTGCACGTACCTTGACGTAGCTGTGCCCACAGCTGGGGTAGGAGGTACCAGGGCACCTCCTGCCCTGCCAGCAGCAGCCAGCTTTAGCCTCAGCAATGAAATCACTAAGCAGGTGGAAGCCTTGCTTCTTCCCATTTGTAATGTCTATGCTAGAATATTTCATTAATGAAATCACTGATGTTTATTACCTACTAAATGATCTCTCTCTCCAACAATCTCTGAGGGTTATTACCACAAAGACTTGCACAACAGATGTTAAAAGCCATCACTTTAAATCAACATATACTTTTATTAAAAACAAAACCAAATGGTTTTTTTTTTCTAATCCCTGCATTCCAGTCACTAAAGCTGAGATAATCTTCTGGAGGAGCTAATGGATATTGTTAATATCTGGATTGAATTTATAAAGAGCTAGGAGAGAACAAACAGGAGAGCAGAGACAACCAGCAGCAGCAATGAAGACAATCTGTTGTGTTTTGCTAGCAGAGCTTTATTTATGCCAGCCATTTCATCCATTCAGGATGATGCACAAGATGAAGTAAAATATTTGTAATTATGCCTTGCACTTTTTTTTCCCTGACTCGGGATCCCAGATTTAAGGAGTTAAGCAACTGTAATGTCAAGAGTGCGTATTTGTTGTCAGCCATTTTTCATTCCCTGTGGTTTGCTACAGAAATCTAGACAGGCTGTTGTTTGTGGTCAGTTTAATGCAATTTGAAACTTTTGTAAAGGTGACTAAAGGTCTGACATCTTCAGTCAAAGCTTATTTTTTCCCCCCTGCTCATGAATGGAGCCAAGTCCAAGCAAGAACAGCCTAGGTTCAAATCTTTCTGATGTACTGGTGACTGCTGAGGATGAAGGATTTGCTTTACTGCAGGAGTGACAAGGAGCAAATGAAAAGCTTTGGATCCTGATTGCATCGAGTGGATGTTGTCACTGGTGAGCTCTAAAAAGCCAGCAATACCTCACAAAATTGAAACAACTGCACTGTACAGTGCCAGTGGTGCTGCATAATCCATGCTAATGGGAACGGTGATACAAGATAAGCAGGGCAACATGAACGATGATCCAGGTGTGGCCTTGCTTTCCAATTGCCACAAAAAGAAGGTTTCCAGTTCAGACTTATTTATGTAGGGCACTTTCTCAAAGATCTCAAAAGATGTCCTGTGAATTGACATCTTTCCAGTTGATCTAAACTCAGAAATCAATTCTAGCATGTAGACTTCAGTGGAAAATTGTGTAATAAAACACATCTTGTGACATTTCATCAGGTACTGGAGAAGAACTTTCTCCAAGAGACAATTTCCCTGATGCTTTTTTTTCCTCACTTTGGGTAATTTTGTTTTAAGACCTGCCGTGAGTCATGTCCATCGCAGTGGATTAGGAATGGTGCCTTTGGCATGTTTCAGAGTACTTGGTTTGGAAATAACGTTATGGTTTCTGCAAACTGTGTAAACTGAAGATGTGCAGAGCGCTCATTCCTAGAGCTTCAGAGTGCCCCTAGGGATGGCAGGGCTGGCAAGCATGCCTCCCTGATTTCAAAACAGAGAGGAGGCAATCTAAACCCAGGGTGCTCTTCCCACCACTCTACCCATCCTTAATCATCTCCCAGTCTGACTGCCCACCTTTTGCAGTAGCCATCCAGTCTGCCTCTCAAGGACCTCCTTCATTGTCTTCACCTTTCTTAGATTAAGTAATGAGTGGCAAACACTATTTTTTTTTTTTTCCTTTTTGTCCTCTTTTCTTTTTCCCCCCCCTTCCTCTCCCTTCTCCATTCCTTAGCACTGCAGAGCCTGATGTCACTCTCTCAACAGATCTGTGGGAGGTTTGTGCTGGGATTTTCCTGCCTGGGATAACGCACAGTGTTTACTGTCTGTTGGCTTTCCGGTGGTCTCCCGGCCTCCAGCAATGGGAGTCACGAGCTCCTTTCCCCCCCGTCCCATGCTCTGTGGTATCTGTTGTTTTCCAAGCGCTGGAATCTTTGTCCCCGTTATGTAGCCCCAAACCTGACCTTGTCGGAGACCACACACGGGTGTCTCTGGATGAGAGGGGAATGTATGGAATGTTTTTCAATGAGCAGTTTATGAAATTCCTTTCCTATATGTTTCAGGAATTCTTTAAGTTAAAGAGCACAAACGTTTCTCCAAGGAAACTAGAGTTCGCAGGAGCACTTGTTTTTAAAAACATTCTTTATTAAGAAGGGGGGAAAAAAGGAGGAGGTGAAAGAGAAAAGAGAAAATGTAAACAAGAAAGCCTAAATCCCCGCTCTGTAATGCACAGGCAGGAATAACAGCACAGTGGGGCTGCACTCCTCTGAGGCCTGAGAGCAGGCTGTGTCCTCCCACCAAGGGGTAGAGCTGAACTGACCCTGTGTGAGCACTAGAGTCAAGGGGTGAGACCCACAGGGCCTCGTCCTGACCCACAAAATGTGGGGAAAGAGGAAACAGCCCAATGCTGATTGTGGAGATGCCTGAGATAGGCAAAGGCAATGCTGAGGACAAGGGGATGCCTTAAATCCAAAAGACTCTCTTGAAGAGAAAGTGTATGGCTTTTAGGCCTGTTTTCCTCAGATAGTGTTTTATATACTCACACATTGAAAATAGCAAAATCAGGTATTTATACAAAACTCAACAGAGGAAACCAGGGCCAAGATTTTTCTTTTTTTTTTTTTTTTTTTCCTGTCCCCATGCAACTGAAGTGCAGGGAGAAGAAGAGGGAGGGCTCTGGCCAGGGCACCCTCTGCAGTGCAGGGCAGAGTCCTCATGAGCTGAGGGAAACCAGCTCTGCCTTGGGTGTGTGCTCCAAGCTCTGAGCTATTGTATGATAAGGTGGTACCACCTCTTCCTCTGTTTGTGTTTTGGAAGAAAGTGGAGTTGCCATTGCATGTTTGAAGGGCCCTGGCTTTGGTGGCCATACTCCAGGAGATCCTAGGGAGGTGTGGATGAAGGTGAAGAGGGGACGTGGACATGGAACTGCATGTCAAAGCTGAGGTGCTTTCAGGCATTCTCCAAAGCGGAATTGCTGATTTTGAAAACCCAGTGGTTTCCAGGGACTGAGGAGGACTTTTGTCTCGCATACCTCAGTCCCACTTTAAGTACCTAGGTCCCTTTTTGGATCTGGGCCTAATCTGCTAATTCAAATCCAGCTTGCATGCGTCAGAACTGTAAGCCAATATAGAGTTGGCAGGAAATGGCTTTCCTATCCTGTGAACATTTTCAGGATTTTTTTTTTTTTTTAAACCGAACCTGGATTTAAAACTTGGGCCAACAGCCAGAATTTTGAAAATTTTTACAGAATGAAAACCCAAGTTCTGAATCCTTTTCCTCTAACATCAGCTAAAACATTTGATTTCAATATTGACTTCTGCTTTGTGTTTTGTTCTTTTATTACCAGCGGTTTAATGTTAAAAACAAAAGTGGAATTTAAAACTGGAGGGAGTTGGTTGAACTCTCTCGCCCCATCAGAAGTCTTGGGTTTGATGGATTGGCATTTTCTGATCTGATAAGCACTTCATCAGAAACAACCGTAAGGCGATGAGCTGCAGCTGTTGGCATCTGATGGCAGTGGTCTGTAATAAATGAGTATGTCAGCGTAATACAACAGATGAAAAACATAACAGCTGGTGTACACTGGCTATCTCAGCAGAGGCACCATCTCATAGACACAGGAGATGATTTTCCTTCTTATGAGGCATAGTTTCTTATCTCCTGGTTGAGGAACATGTGCTGTGACTTGTAGTATCACTGTATGAATCATGGTGTGATGGACAAGGTTTGGATCTGGGACATTTCACCACTGTAGGCAATTTACCAACAGATCCATAACAGTATCTTTCAACAATTTGTGGTATGGCTAGGGCTTCTCCTGCTGTATATAAATTTGAATTTTACTTTCTGTGCCTTCTTTTATGTTACCCTCTATGCCTGGCGCCACTTCTTCCCCCCTTGGTTCTGATCCAAAGACCGTTGGAATCAACCTAAGTCCTTCCAGCAGCTTCAGTGGGCTTTGGAGCAAATCCTTTGCACGCTAAAGAACCTTCGTCTCACCTTTCAGAATCACAGAACATTCTGAGTTGGAAGGGACCCACAAGGATCAGAGTCCAACTCTTAAGTGAATGGCCCATATGGGGATCAAACCTACAACCTTGGCATTATTAACACCATGCTCTCACCAACCGAGCTAATCTCAGGCATTTCCTGGAAAATACACTTCTTTCACAAAGCTTTTAAGCACAGCTGATCCCATGTAACTTTTGCATTACTTTGCAATAGACTTTCATCCAGTAAACTGTATGTGGGTCAACTGAAGGAAAACCAGGATTCTCTGATCAGGGTTGCTCTGTGTTTGCTCTGTCAGAGCACACAGGCAAGAAAATAGGTTATTTATTAGTACTGAGGATGAGTTTAAAAGTGTGATAAGTGCCATCTAGGAATATGTCTTGTGTCATAACTCTTTCACTGTCATATATTCTTGAAGAGCTTTGCAGTTTCTTTCCCCATAATTATGAGAGACTTTTGGAACTAGTGTATGGAAATGTAATGCAAATGTGTGGGTGTGGGGTGGCTCACTTCAGTGTCTTCTTGATTCCAGTGGCCAATAAATTAGAAATATACTGCAGTTTAAAAAATCCTGTGTTCAGTGAAAGCCAGAGAGGTGTCAGGTCTGTTGCCTTCCATCACACCAGGTGTTGTCTTTCCTTGGAGGGCAGTGAATGCTGTTGGCTTGCCATACAGCAGTTCTGATCTGTCCCTGTATGACACTGTGCACACAGACCTGTTCAGGCTGTGCTGACAGAGTTTTCCACCATGTCTTTTCCATTATCCTCCACCCTTGTCTGTTCTTGATCCCACAGACACTCAGTATGTGTGCCATCTTTTTCCCCTCTCCTGCTCTCTGTCCCTTCTGTCTCCATAATGAGTGCTAGTCCTACAATGACATTTACTGACCCAGAACTCCCTTTTGGGTAGCACAGATGGTATGCAAACACAAAATAATTGTCCTTGCCCTGAAAAGACTAGAAAGCTGGAGAAGGTGCATCAGATTGAGAAAGGTGCTTGTTCAGGACTGAATGTCAGGTTGAAGAAAGAAGGCAAACCCAGTGATATGGTCACCTTCTTTCTACTTAGTGCCCTTCTTTTACTGTTACCCAAGTGATGGTTCACCTTACCATGGTCAGGAGAAATATGAATCTAAAGGATTCTTACACCTGGGGCCAGCCCCTTGCACCTTCATGATGTGTTGAGCATACATATGAAGCTGATATTCCTGCCTTGAGGAGCTGGTGATCTGCTCAGGTGCACCACAGGCAGTGGTGTGGGGAGCAGAGCAGCCTCCAAGAGCAGGAAAGAGCAGGTGGCTGTCGTGGTGTCATGGATGGTTTGGGTTAATTGTCCCTTCAGCCTGAATTGTGGGGACCTGTTGAGGAGGAGGACATCAAGGGAAGGTGTGGAGAAAGATAGTTATTCAGAGTTTCCATAAGAAATAGAGCTGTTAGGAGGACTTTTAGGAATGGGAGGAGGCCACGAAGAGGGTGAGGAGCCTGACCAACTGTATAGAAGTAATGGAAGGGGCAGAGAACAGAGACTGGTCTTTTGTTCAAGACCAAAGCAGAATATCCTGGAATTATTGAAATATAGTAACTGATATAACTAGATTTGCTGGCTTGAAAACTGTTTGGAGGTTTAGAAATTCTCTCCTCTACATGGCAGGAAGTGTGTCTGGGGGGAGAGGGGGTGGGGGGTATGAAGAGAAATCAGAGATACTGGGAAAAAAACCCACAACCGACTGATCTCACAGAATAACATCGTTTTTGAGGGTGACAGAAGTCTTTGTTCTCACTGAACTCCTACCATACAAAAGTTAAGCTTGTGGACATTGCAAGAGCAGGAAAGACAATTGGAAAAGCCCTGTCCAGGCTTGCCTCTCCTCTCCATCCTAGTTTGCTTTCAGATCTAGCCAGTTCTATCCTCAGTACACCCTATGTCATTGCAGTGGGTTTTTTGCTGTACAATGAAGTTGTGAACCTGAAGAACAGTGACTTCCATCCAGTTGTCTCTGCAGTTTTCCAAACAAAAAAAAACCAAACAGAATGAGACCATCAGCCTATCTAAGAGTAGTGAACACAACTTCACTTTTAAAGCCATCTGTCAAACAGCTGGCTTCAGAAGAAAAATTTACCAAGCAGGAGTGTGGAGGAACTCATGATTATTGTTTTGTTTTTTCCCTTCCTTTCATCTGGCTAGGATTAAATATCTTGTTTTTCTCTTCTACATGCATCAACATGCCTCCATGGGACTATATTACTTCATACACAGATGAACAAAAGCAAGAAAAAAGAGTTACCAGTGCTCATATGGAACATCAGCTGGGTTGAGGTAGAAACTGCTCAGGGCTGAAGCAGAGGTGTGAGAAGCACAGCATTGTCTCCTAGGCAGGGGAGTGAAGTCAGCAGCTTTCTCTGCATATTGGGGGAGAATGTGAAATTTCAGGTCATTCCAGAAGCACGAGGGTGAATTTAGAGAAGTGTTAGAGAATATATGGAAGGGAAATCTTGCTAGCTGATTCAAGGTTGGCTTATTACAAAATCATGGGAATCAGGGCTAGAAAAGAAAACATGTTCTATTAAGTCATTCTATCCGGTCCCTACAACCAACCAGTGTACACTTCCTCCCATGGGCTTTCCAGGCAAGGTTAACCCTTAGAGAATAATGAATGATCGTTGCTGAAGTACAAAAGGAAATTGGCTTCTGCATTTCTTCCCCCTCACTCCTGGGGAAAGGTATCCTTTCCTCTTTCTGATTCACATCTCCCTTGCCCTGCTGAGAGCCCTCAGACAGATATCTTCTCCCAGCTCAAAAAAGAAAGGTGAAGAAATGCTGGTATCAGAAAAAAACAAAGATTTAGGAGGCAACTTAAAAGATGGATGGTCAGAGAAGTTCTTAATCCCTTAAGAGAGATGTTTCTTTCTTTTCCTACTCTAAACTAAGCTCCTTCCTGGCCCCCCTACCTGCCTTTGCAAACACTTAGCAAAGATGATGATTTACCAGTTGTTATCTAACTTGGAGCTGTCGGTTTCCTGAGGACGAAGGCCCAGTGCACAATACAACAACAAGGTCTTACATTTAACTGCTAAGTCCCTTGACACTGCAGCATTCCAGCACAGCAGGCTGGAAAATGTGTTGCAGCTCTGTATAAATTGAAGGGGGGGAAAGGGAAGAAAAAAAAAAAAAAGGAAAAAAAAGAAGAAGAAGAAATGTAATGAATTAAATATGGAAATGAATAATACACTGAAGTACAATCTCCTCTGTGTCATCTTGGTATTCAATTCCATTTATTTTATGTTGTCCCTGCATGATCGACTTGCACAGATTTATGTGTAGTGAATGTGGAACTGTTTTGTTGAGGCTATCCAAAATAAAGCTGGAGGCTCAGCCATAGAGGAAGAGAATAGGAAGGGTTTTTTGGGCTTAAGAAGCAGCCCAAGAACAGAGGGAAGCATGTAATACTGGCATTTGTTGCAGGGGTAATTGTAAGGATGCACCAACTGCCATTGAAATAGATGCCTTTAGGTTTTGCTAGACCACTGGCTCAAACAAAGGAGAGATCCCAGCCATCAGAGCTGCTTCTCAGGCTGACATTATTTTAGTGTTTATGAGAATATCTAAATCACAAAATGAAGTTTGAGGTTTTCAGAAGAATGTAGAGCTTCTCCGGTACAGAAGACTGAGCCTGGAGTAACGGAGCTGTCCACCCTCATCCTCTGCATGTGACTTTTACTGCTTTGACATAAAAATGTGCAGCTTGATTTTTCTCCTCTTCTTAAAATCCCATTATTTCTAGTGTAGGCTTCTATTTCTTTGATCCCTAGGTAAGAACAGACTCTGGGGAATCTCTGTATTTTTCCTCTCGGGTATAGTATGGTTGCAAAATGTTTTTATGAAATATATTGATCCAAGAACAGGTTAACTTTAGCTGATGAGTTACCATGCATCAGCTGCTCTGCAATAACTGTCCAAGCACATGCTTTTAAACCTAAGCACTCCCGTGTAATCATGTGTGCCAAAGTGCTAAAATGTCAGTTTGTGTCTGACAAACTCCAAATGTTTGTGATTTCGTTACATGTCTAGTGTTAACTACCCTCACAGTGAGGAAATCGTATCCTGCTTCACAGTTGAATTTGTTTAACATCAGCCTGAATTCTCTCTGAATCTTTTTGTGTCTGTTGGTGAAAGATTTGAAAAGACTGTAAGGCATCTTTTCCATGCAAAAGTACCTACATATAAAAGTATCAAATCACATTTTGACTAATTGTAGCAGATTAAAGGCTTATACTCGTAGCATTGCAAGACTTGTTTTCTCTTGCAAGGTCATTTTTGTGGCTTTATTTGAACACTGAGATGTCCATATCCTTCCTGAAACAGGGATGCCAAGACTAAAGATACAATTCTTCTAATGAGTTTAATAGTGGTCAGCTGAGGGACAAAATCACTTCTCTGTTTCTACCTGGTAAAGCCTTTTTTTTTACACCTGAGTATCATATTAGTCACCAAACACTGCACTGAGATCTCATGCTGAGGTGGTTAATTTTGATGTTCTTTATGCACAGATTTGCAAGACAGATTTTTCACCCTAAGCACAGGGCCTTGGCTTCAACCCTTCAAACTTCAGTCAGATTTTCCTGCTGGAGGTGCCATCCTTTTTTCATCATTTCTTCATTGGCTAGTCTAGCTATGCTCTTACTTTAAATGTCTTTTAGGGGCAGGCAATGGGTAGAGTTGAATCTCAGCCTTTATTGCTAGGTGTGATAAGTTTCACGTGCCTCTAGTAAAATCCATATATTGCATTGTGGTAATTTAAGCAGGTCCTTCTTGCAGCCCCCTCCCCAGTCCAACCTGTTCTCTTTCTTCTTTACTATCTCAGTAATTTGTATACTACCTGCAAATCCCACTATCAGAGATTTATTACTGATATTTATTACTGAAAACACTAAACCTTATGGGATTAATAACCAGTTTTTGAAAGCATCTTGCTAATTATGGTCCTATTTATGATAATGCTTCCTAGTTAAAAACAGTATGTTGAAAGCTGCCACTGAAACACATGTTGGTAGGTCTAGGATATGCCTTACTATTTCCATACCCTGCAAAGTATTTAACTAAGACATTAACTAAGGTCTCATGAAATATCAAATT